GAGGAGGCGGGAGCTTAGAGCCCAAGAAGGGGGTGAAGGAATCCGCCCTCATTTGCACTTCGTCTGGGGCCCAGTCAATTTGCTTAATCACTGCTGTAAATGCCAGACCCCAGCACACAATGCGCGCCCATTAACAGGTTTAAAGTGTCCTAGCGGTCGCTTTAAATGAGAAAAGCCGGCAACAAAAGGGGGGGGAAAAGCCAAGTTCCTTCACTCGGAGAAAGCCTAGGATCTCCCTCAAAATCTTCTCAGGGAGTTTAAGATCCAGAGTTCAGTAGAGCTCTGCAGAGCCCCGGAGAAAGAAGCCCGGCGGTGATGGCGGGGGGTGGGGAGGGGGGGGAAGGGGGGGTTGGGGAGGGTCGTGGATAACCCACCACGAAGACAGGGTTTGTCAAGACCCAGCTCCAGGTGGCCCAGAGAACCTGGAGAATCGGGCACCACGTCGTCCACCCGGCTCCGGCAGTTCCCTGCCTAACTGCCAAGCTGACCGATCTCTAGGAAGGAAAGCGAGGACACCCCTTTCTCCTTAAAGCACGCACAAATCCAAGTTTTCCTTTTGGCACAAGCTTCCTTTGAAAGGCCAAGGGAAGATCCCCGAGGTGACTCCTAGACCTCGATCCGTAAAAGGGACGAAGTTAAAGCAACTTTTCTCTACAGGCGCGGGTCAGCGCAGCCTCGCGCGCGGCGGCCACCGAGGAGTTGAACTCTGCAAACAAGTTCTGCCCGGGATCGGCGCAGGAGGCCCCATCCCCCACTCCGTGGCCGAGCACCGGGGGTGCATCCCGCCGTCCCCGCCCGGCGCCCACCCACCCCGGCGCAGCCCCGGCCGGCCGACTCGCACTCACCGTGCGCGCTCCTCCGGGAGACAGGGGGCCGTTGGAGAGGTACGGGCTGCTCAGGTCAGGGATCATCAGGAAGGGGTACCCCGGGTACGCGGGTCCCTTAAAGAACGAGCCGTCCTGGGGCCTTCTCACTGCGGACAAAACCAAGACGGGGTGAGGCCTGGGGGGCCCCCCCGGGACGGCGCCGCAGCAGGAAACTCCGGGAGGGGACGGGGACCCCGAGCGCCCCTCACGCGCGCCCCAGGGTGGCCGCCGCAGAGCGGGGAGGAGCGGCGGGAGCTCGGACACCCGGACCTGGGGGGGGGGGACCCCCGAGGCGCGGGACGCTCCGGGACCCGAGCGAGACTGGAGACCCGAGCGGCCGGGCAGCCACGTACCTTCGGCGAAATAGTCCCGCGGCTTCTGGAAAGCGTCCCGGGCGGGCTGCGGGCGCCTCTCCGCCTGCGGAGGAGACACAAAGGCGAGGGCGGGTGAGCGGGAGAGGAGCTGGGGTCCCCCCGGGGCTCCCCACGGGAGCCGCCTCACCTCCGAGTCCGAGCTGCTGCTCTGATTCTCCGACTCGTTGACCAGGGACGACTTGACCTCGTCCAGATCGCGCTGCGCCGAGGCGCTGTCGCTGCTCGGCTCCTGCTCCTCGCCCCCCTCGTCCTGGAAGGGGATCAGCTCGTCGTTCGCCCCGAGGTCGTCCCCGCCGCTGGCCGCTCCGGCTCCTCCACCGCCGCCGCCGCCTCCGCCGCCGCCGCCGCCTCCACTGCCGCCGCCGGCGCCGCCACCGCCACCGAGCTGGGGCATGGTGGGGCCGCGGGCCGGGGCCGCCGCGCTCCGAGCCCCGCGCCTCCCGCGCCCTGCCCGGCCCGGCCGGGCCCGGCGCCCCTTCCTCCCGCTCCTCGGCCCGCTCCGCTCGCCGCGGCCTCGGCCGCCGCCGCTACAGCCACAAAGTTTGACAGGGCGTGGCCCCGCGGGAAGCGGGCCCGCCGCAGCCCGGCCGGGGCGGGGGAAGGCTCGGCTCGGGGGGCCCCTCCGGCAGAGCGGAGCCCGGGGCTCCCCAACTCGCAGCCGCCGCCTGCCTCCGCCGGGGCGTCCCACAGCCTGGCCCGCCGGGGAGGGGCGAGCGGGGACGGAGGGGAGGGCCCGCCCGGCTGGGCAGGGGGGCCGGAGGGAGGAGCCCCGGCTGCAAGCTGACACCCGCGCGCCTCGCGGAACCCGGAGAGCTCCGGCGCGCGCGCACACACTCACATTCGCACGCGCGCACTGCTCCCTCGCACCTTCCGGGGGCTACGCCTCCCCGCCGCGTGCAACACCCCTACCTCCCAAACTCACCCCGACCCCCTCCCCGGCATCCCTAGAGACTCTCTCGGCACCCTCCTGCCAACCCCAGAGTCTTGCCCGCAACCCCTCGGTTATTCTCTTAACTTTCTTCCAAATAACCCCCAGAACTTGTGCGGGTCCACCCCCCTCCCACGGCGAGGGCGCGCGGGCGGGCGGCACTGCCCCCTGCGGGAAAGCCTCGGACCCGCACGTCTGCCGCGGCCCGCCTGGCTGCCTGCAGTGCAGCCTCTGGGCCGGGGCCCGAGCGCTTCAGCCCGGGTCAACTCAGAGGTTTGCAGAGCCCCGAATCGGAGCGATTTATGGCACTGGGAACTTGGTCCCGCGACCTTCTGTTCTTTTCTGTGGGTCCCAGTGTTCCTCGCTCCTGACGTGGTTTCGAGCTTGTCCAAGAGTCAACGTGGAACCCCCCTCCCCCCCAAATAGTTTGGAATAACTTCTTAAATCCAATGATCACTCTTGAAATCAGAACGGGTCACACCCCACCCCAAAAACAGTCATCCCAGAAATCTCCAGAGTCGTAGCCAATGAACATAAGAAAAACGCCCCACCAGGTTTGCAAGGAAAGACATTATATGAAGATATCGTTATAACCCACTTGTAGAACTTGTGCTTAATATGCATGAAGTCCTGGATTCCCGTCCCTCTCCAGCCGGTTTGGGGAAATTCGGAAAGAGGAAGGATATTTTCTTGCACCTCCAATGGTGGGAAACTGTTGGTGACAGCAATCTGGAAGTCAGTTTAGGAGTACCTAAACTTTTGTTCTTGTTTTTTAATTTCAGGTCTTGGGACTTGAACACAAAGCTTGGGCACTGTCCCCAAGTTTTTGCTCAAGGTTAGCACTCTTAACACTGAAGCCACAGCTCCACTTCTGCTTTTCGGTGATTGGAGATGAGAGTCTACTGGATCTTCCTGCCTGGACTGGCTTCGAACCATGATCCTGAGATCTCGGTCTCCTGAGTAGCTAGGATTGCAAGCCTGAGCCACCAGCGCCCAGTTAAACTGTTTTAAATACAAGTGGCAGAAGAGTTTTCTAAAGGCATAGCACATACAGAAATAGTCACAGGTGGGGCTGGGAAGTTGGCTCAGTGGTAGAGCGCTTGCCTTGCATGCCTGAGGCCCTGGGTTCGATTCCTCAGCACCACATAAGAAAAAAGCCAGAAGTGGCGCTGTGGCTCAAGTGGTAGAGCGCTAGCTTTGAGCTGAAGAGCTGAGGGACAGCGCCCAGGCCCAGAGTTCAGGCCCCACAACCAGACCAAAAAAAGAAAGAAAGAAATAGTCACAGATACAAGGAACTTTGGAGCTTCAGGGCAACTGGTATATACATTCCATTCTCCATCCTTACAAGCCGTTCCACAGCAACCAGCTGGCTGAATGAGGCCCCTGCTCCTGTGGACCTAGATTGATTTGGGGAAAAAATACTCTTAGTAGAAACGTGATAGGTGTGTAATCACTGTTTCATTTTGTTTTGAAATAATGCCTTTATTTTGCACAACCAATATGTGAAAATAGCATTAGGAAATGTTTTCAGAAAAGCATGTATCATGAAAAATATATTCTTGTTGTGAAGTATCTGTACAAAGGAGTTATAATTCCATAATCAGATTATAAGTACCATGCTTTTTGATCTTTGTCACCTCTTCCTTTGTTTTCCCCCATTTTCCCCCTGCTGTTCCAACCCTCAAATTCTTTTTTTTTTTTTTTAAAGACAGTTTCTCCATATAGCCTAGAATGGCCTTTAACTTAAGATCATCTTGCCTAGGCCTGGGATTACCAGTGCATACTGCCACACATTGTGAGTAGACTTTTTTTTGTTTTTTGCTAGTGCCAGGGCTTGAATTCAGGCCTTGGCACTGTTCCTAAACTGCTTTTTGTTCAAGGCTAGCACTCTACCACTTGAGCCACAGCACCATTTCCAGCCTTTTCTGTGTATGTGGTACTGAGGAATCTAACCCAGGGCTTCATGCATGCTAGGCAAGCACTCAACCACTAAGTCATATTCCCAGCCCTGTGAGTAGAATTTTGAATGAAAAGTAAAGCTCAGGGGGCTGGGAAGGTGGCTCAGTGGTAGAGCACTTGCCTTGCATGCGTGAGGCCCTGGATTCGATTCCTCAGCACCACATAAGCAAAAAGAAAAAAGCCGGAAGTGGCCCTGTGGCTCAAGTGGTAGAGCGCTAGCCTTGAGTGAAGAGCTGAGGGACAGCGCCTAGGCCCAGAGTTCAGGCCCCACAACCGGACCCAAAAAAAAAAAAAAAAAAGAAAAGAAAAGTAAAGCTCAACATGATGCTGGTGGCTTACATCTGTAATCCTCAATATTTAGAAGGCTAAGATGTGAAAATCAAACCAGCTATAGCAGATTTGAGACTGCTATCGCCAATTAACCACCAAAATGGAGCTGTAGCTCAAGTAGTGGAGCACTAGTTTGAGCACAAAAGCCCAGGCAGAGAACACTTAGGTCCTGAGTTCAAGTTACGAGACTGAAGAAATTGGGCCTAGCATTTGTTGTCACAATCCAGTGTTTGGAGTCATGTCCTAAAATTGACTTCCTAGTTATTTGGGGTTTGGGAAATGGAAAAGAGATAATCTTTCTGATTACTTGTTTTGTCTGCATGGCTGGTTTTGAGGTTTTAAACCTGACTTGAATAGTAAGACCAAACATGATCATACAGGAATATTTTAATAAGTGTATCAACATGCAAATGTAGAAGAGCCAAAATGATTGTTTTTCTTTAGATTGAATATTTGAATCTTATGTGTAACAAAAGAAGCAGGTTTTAGTTCTTTCTGTGCCCTGATATTTTGTATATCATTGAATTATCCAAGATTTGATGGGATTTATCAGTATATAGATAGCTCTATAATGCTTCAATTGTACACTTCTAAATATGCAGTGCAAGAGCTTGTTTATATTTCATACTTTTTATACTTTGAGGAAAAAAAGTCAAAGCAAAATTGGTGTCCAAGGAACAAAAAGTGACCAAGTAAAGAATAAATTTTAAAAATACTGGGGCTGAGCCGGGCGCTGGTGGCTCACGCCTGTAATCCTAGCTATTCAGGAGGCTGAGATCTGAGGATCGCGGTTCAAAGCCAGCCCGGGCAGGAAAGACCGTGAGACTCCTATCTCCAATAAACCACCAGAAAACCGGAAGTGGCGCTGTAGCTCAAGTGGTAGAGCACTTGCCTTGAGCTGAAGAGCTGAGGGACAGCGCCCAGGCCCAGAGTTCAAGCCCCACGACCGACAGAAAAAAAAAAAAATACTGGGGCTGGGAAGGTGGCTCAGTGGTAGAGCACTTGCCTTGCATGCTCGAGGCCCTGGGTTCAATTCCTCAGCACCACATAAGCAAAATGAAAAAAGCCAGAAGTGTTGCTGTGGCTCAAGTGGTAGAGCGCTAGCCTTGAGCTGAAGAGCTGAGGGACAGTGTCCAGGCCGAGAGTTCAGGCCCCACGACCGGACCCAAAAAAAAAAAATTTTTAAAAATACTCTTATGAGACTTGGCATACCCACTCATGGAATTCCAGTTATTATGAATTGCTTCCACTCCCCTCTCCCTTACCCCAACAATGGTTTTCTTTGCAACTAAGAAGCTAGTATCCTGGATTAACTGATGCCTGCTAATGCTTTCTGATTACTTGAATTCTGTTTCTTGCTTTAAAAGAAAAAGACAACACGGTTGGACTAGTATTACAGCTCTAAGAAAAGCAAAAACTACAAACAATAATTTGATTACCAAAATTGGGATATTTAAAGCCTAACACCCTTCTAATAAAGACAGGAATTTCTTTTTACTACTTGTTTCAGACTCTTGAACCTCTTTATAAGTTTACTAATAAATCTATTTTCGTCCATCTTTTGCAATAGTTCTTTAAAATCACAACAGTTGGTTAGCAAGCTGACTTTTTTATGTGTGCTGTACAAGTAATTGTGAACTTTTAATATGTTGAATGCTTTCATTTTGATATCGATCTCCATTTGATATTTTCATTTGTATAACTCATTTGCAGTCTGATTTTGTGTTTTATTTAGTGCCCATCCCTGACATACCATGCAAAATTAATTTTCTTAGCATTCAAAAATATCTGGATCATGAAAAAATGATGAAATGGGGGGTGGGAGATGGAAAGGGATGGGAAGGGGAAACAAAGGAAGAGGCAACAATGCTTGATAAGAAATGTACTCATGGGGGCTGGGAAGGTGGCTCAGTGGTAGAGCGCTTGCCTTGCATGCCTGAGGCCCTGGGTTCAATTCCTCAGCACCACATAAGAAAAAAGCCAGAAGTGGCGCTGTGGCTCAAGTGGTAGAGCACTAGCCTTGAGCTGAAGAGCTGAGGGACAGTGCCCAGGCCCAGAGTTCAGGCCCCACAACCAGCAAAAAAAAAAAAAAAAAGAAATGTACTCATTACCTTGCCCATGTCATTGTAACCCCTCTGTATGGTATTTTCACAATAAAAAAAAAGAAATTTAATATTTTAAAAATGATGAAAATAAATTAAAATTGAATTTTAAAAAAAGAGAAAAATTCCAAAAGATTGTCTCCATGGAAAAAGCTGGGCATGATGAGCATGCCTGTTACCTCAGCAACACTAGAAGGGGGCTCCAGCCTAGGCAGAAAGCAAGAATTCAAGTCAAAAAAAAAAAAAAAAGTCAAAAAAAGGGCTGGGCCTGGCACTAGTGGCTCACACCTATAATCCTAGCTACTCAGGAGGCTGAGATCTGAGGATCACAGTTCAAAGCCAGCCAGGGCAGGAAAGTCCCTGAGACTCTCATCTCCAAATAACCACCAGAAAACCAGAAGTGGCGCTGTGGCCCAAGTGGTAGAGCACTAGCTTTGAGCTGAAGAGCTGAAGGATAGCTCCCAGGCCCAGAGTTCAAGCCCCACGACTGACAAAAATGAAAAGAGGGCTGGAAACCTGTCTCAGTGAAAGTTCCTCCCCTCCCCTCCCCTCAGGACAGCAGCTTTGTAATTAACTACTTTCAGTCCCTCTAATTAACCATTGTTACTAATTTGATATGTATCATCCCAGACATTTCCCCAGGCAGTTGGGAATGCTATAAACACTTAAACCTGCATATAGATTTACATGAATAGAATTGCAGGAGAGGTTTTTAAGCTGTTTTTTCCTCCCCCTCCTTCAACCCCCATTAGAAAAAGGAAGGACTGGATAGGTGGGGTGGGGATTTTAGAAACTTGGCAGTGAATAGAATTCTAAATGTGGGTTAGGGAACTCAGGCCAAGCCCTAACTTAAGTTGCTTTGGTTACTTCCTTTAACCTCATTTGCTGAGACTGGTGGGAGGAGCTTATGCCCCACATTTTCAGTGCCTATTGCTCTGGACTTTCCCCAGCTCCATCCCACTGTAAAACATTCCTGTGATCCCGTCTGTGACTATCCTTTAATTAAGCAAATATTTCTAAAATTAAAAAAAAGCTGGGTGTCCATGGCTCACGCCAGGAATCCTATCTACTCAGGAGGCTGAGAGCTGAGGATCCTAGTTCAAAGCCAGCCCGGGCGGGAAACTTCGTGAGACTCTTGTCTCTAATAAACCACTCAGAAAACTGGAAGTGGCACTGTAGATCAAGTGGTAGAGGGCCTACCTTGAGCTGAAGAGCTGAGGGACAGAGTTCAAGCCCCATGACTGAAGAAAAATAAATAAATAAATTAATTAATTAAATAAAAAAAAATCAGATCCGGTGCTGGCTGTAGCCTGTACTCCTAGCCACTCGGGAGGCAAAGATCTGAGAATCACAGTTTGAAAGCCCAGAGACTCTTACCTCCAATTAACTACTACAAAAAAAAGGACAGAAATGGAGGTGTATGCATAAGTGTTAGAGCTCTAGCCTTGACCAAAGAAGCTCATGGACCGCTCCCAGATGTGGCATAAAAGACAAAAACAAGCTGGGTATTGGTGCTTATAGCTACCATCCTAGATATCAGGAGGCTGACACAGCTTAACAAAAGCTCGCTAGAGCCTGGCACCAATGGCTTATGCCTGTAAGCCTAGCTCCTCAGGAGGCTGATATCTAAGAATTGATCTTTGAAACCAGTTCAAGAAGGAAAGTCGAGGAGAGTCTTGTCTCCAATTAATCACCAAAAAGCTGGAAATGGAGCTGTGGCTCAAGTATAAAGCACTAGTTTTGAATACAAAAGTTCAAGGACTGGACCCTGAGTTCAAGTCCTAGGTCAGGCACAAAAAAGAGAGACAGAGAAAGAAAGAAAAAAGAGGAGGGAGAGTGGGAAGGAGGCTTTTCATGTGGTATATAACAGATGAAAAGCTAGTAGCTCATGCCTGTAATCCTTGCTACTCAGGAGGCTGAGCTGTAAGGATGGTAATTCACAGGCAGGAAAGTCTGTGACACACTTACCCCAATTAATCACCAGAAAAGCAGAAGTGGAGCACTAGAGCACTAGTCTTGAACACAGAGAGGTTCAGGGACAGAGCTCAGGAGACTAGCAAAAACGAAGAAGAAGAAAAGAAAAGAAAACAGGAAGGAATAACATGTCTTCTTTCAGCTGTAAAGAACAGAAAACAATTCCATTGAGTAGAAACCACTCCAACATCTATGTACAATCACTCTTTCTTCTGCATCCTAATGATTGTGAGTAGGGGCCACTCTACGAATACCGCTGATGTCAGTCAAGATCTTTGGTTTAGGGGCTGGGAAGGTGGCTCAGTGGTAGAGAGCTTGCCTTGCATGCTCAAGGCCCTGGGTTCGATTCCTCAGCACCACATAAGCAAAAAACAAAAAGCCGGAGTGGCGCTGTGGCTCAAGTGGTAGAGCGCTAGCCTTGAGCTGAAGAGCTGAGGGACAGGGCCCAGGCCCAGAGTTCAGGCCCCACGACCGGACCTCTCCCCACCCCCAAAAAAATGATCTTTGGTTTAATCATATCTGAAAAGATGTCTTTTCCTTTTATTTTATTTTGCCAGTCCTGGGGCTTGAAATCCAGGCGTAGGCACTGTCCCTGAGCTTTTGTGCTCAAGGCTAGTGCTCTACCACTTGAGCCACAGTTCCACTTCCAGCTTTTTTTGTGGTTAATTGGAAGTAAGAGTCTTGGAGAGTTTTCTGCTGGGGCTGACTTTGAACCCCATTCTCAGCCTCAGATCTCAGTCTCCTGAGTAATTAAGATTATAGGAGTGAGCCACTGGCACCTGGCCTCTTTTCCTTATTCATAGATTCTTTGGGTTTAGGTCATAGACATAGACATATAGGCAGAGCCAAATCTTTGGAAGTGAGCCATTATCAGCCTACCACACCTATCAACCTCGAAGAAATGCAAATTGAAGCAGCATAGATGTATCATTTCTCATCTATTAATTTGGCACAGGAAGAAAAGAATGGTGACACCAACATGGGCCTTTGTGCCTAGAAGTGTAGCATTGTATAACATTTCTGAAGGGAAGTTGGGCAATCACTAGGAGAAAGCTTTACATGTAAAATGCTTTTTAACTCATCCTTATACTTCTAGAATTGTTTTTATATACTAAGGAACTAACTAAGTGTGCAAGTAAACCTGGAGGATTGTGCTCAAGACAGTGCAAAGTTATCCCAATATTTCCAGCCAGGACTATGACATCAATTCCTGTTATGTTCATCTATCAGACACTGTAACACTGAAGAAGTACACTTTTTCACGATAATAAGTGAAAAGAATAAGTTAAAATTAACCAGGCTGGGAAGGTGGCTCAGTGGTAGAGTGCTTGCCTTGCATGCATGAGGCCCTGGGTTCCATTCCTCAGCACCACATAAGCAGAAAAAGCCAAATGGCATTGTAGCTCAAGTGGTAGAGCACTAGCCTTGAGCTGAAGAGCTGACAGACAGCTCCAGGCCCAGAGCTCAGGCCCCACAACCAACAAAGACAAAATAAAACAAAAAAATTAACCTATGCGGCTTGGGATACAGGTTAGATCCATTCTTCAGCATCAAAATAAAATAAAATTAGCTCATAAAAATGTATGCTTCGTGGGCTGGGAAGGTGGCTCAGTGGTAGAGCACTTGCCTTGCATGCTCGAGGCTCTGGGTTGGATTCCTTAGCACCACATAAGATAAAAGCCGGAAGTGGCGCTGTGGCTCAAGTGGTAGAGTGCTAGCCTTGAGCTGAAGAGCTGAGTGACAGCGCCCAGGCCCAGAGTTCAGGCCCCACGACCGGACCCAAAAAAAAAAAAAAAAAAAAATGTATGCTTCGGGGCTGGGAAGGTGGCTCAGTGGTAGAGCGTTTGCCTTGCATGCATGACGCTCTGGGTTTGATTCCTCAGCACCACATAAGCAAAAAAGAAAAAAGCCGGAAGTGGCCTTGTGGCTCAAGCGCTAAAGCGCTAGCCTTGAGCTGAAGAGCTGAGGGACAGCGCCCAGGCCCAGAGTTCAGGCCCCACAACCGGACCCAAAAAAAAAAAAAGTATGCTTTGGGCTGGATGCTGGTGGCTCACACTTGTAATCCTAGCTACTCAGAAGGCTGAGATCTGAGGATTGTGGCTCAAAGCCAGCCCTGGCAGGAAAGTCCATGAAATTCTTCTTTATTTTTTATTTTTTGTCGGTCGTGGGGCTTGAACTCTGGGCTTGGGCACTGTCATTGTGTTCTTCAGCTCAAGGCGAGCTCTCTACCACTTGAGCCACAGCGTCATTTCTGGTTTTCTAGTGATTTATTGGAGATAAGAGTCTCAGGGACTTTCCTGCTTGGGCTAGCTTTGAACTGTGATCCTCAGATCTCAGCCTCCTGAGTAGCCAGGAATATAGGCGTGAGCCACCAACACCCAGCTTCCATGAGATTCTTTTTTTTTCTTGGGGGGGTCCGGTTGTGGGGCCTGAACTCTGGGCCTGGGTGTTGTCCCTCAGCTCTTCAGCTCAAGGCTAGGGCTCTACCACTTGAGCCACAGGGCCACTTCCGGCTTTTTTCTTTTTACTTATGTGGTGCTGAGGAATTGAACCCAGGGCCTCAAGCATGCAAGGCAAACACTCTACCACTGAGCCAACTTCCCAGTCCCATCCATGAGATTCTTATCTCAAATTGTCCACCAGAAAACCAGAAGTGGTGCTGTGGCCAAATGGTAGAGCGCTAGCCTTGAGCTGAAGAGCTGAGGGACAGCGCCCAAACCCAGAATTCAAGCTCCACAACTGACAGAAAATGCTTCCCTTTTGAATGGATTATTAGTATCCATTTTATCTTAAACTCAGGGCCTGGGCATTGTCCCTGAGCTTCTTTTGCTCATGGCTAGCACGCTACCACTGAGCTACATTCCCAGCACTCTACCACTAAGCCACGTTCCCAGCCCCTCTTGAGAGGCTGGGAACGTGGCTTAGTGGTAGAGTGCTTGCCTAGCATGCATGAAGCCCTGGGTTTGATTCCTCAGTATCATAAACACAGAAAAACCTGGAAGTGGTGCAGTGGCTAAAGTGGTAGAGTGGCTAGCCTTGCGCTCAGAGACAGTGCTCAGGCCCTGAGTTCAAGCCTCAGGACTGGCAAAAAAAAAAAAAAGAGTAACTATAGAGTATAGAGCTGGGTGTGATGGCATGTTCCTGTAATCTCAGCACTAAAAAGGAAGAAACAGGACTGAAAGTTTAAGACTAGTCTATATTATACATAGAAACAATGTCTCAAAAACAAACAAACAAAAAACACAAATCACACCAGAACATGATAAATTATAGAGGCCTCCAGACATTCACACACAGTTAGACCAAAAGAAGATAGTCTTAGGTGAGGTACACAAAGGTGAAATGCCTCTGTGCCCCTGTGCCTCTGATCATACAAAATGATACTTATTTAAATGAGTTCCAGGATGTCTGGGAATGTGGCTTAGTGGTAGAGTGCTTGACTAACATGCATGAAGTCCTGGGTTTTGATTCCTCAGTACCACATAAACAGAAAAAGCTCAAAGTGGTGCTGTAGCTCAAGTGGTAGAGTGCTAGCCTTGAGCAAAAGAAGTTCAGGACAGTGCCCAGGCCTTAAGTTCAAGCTCTAGGACTGGCCAAAAAAAGGGAGGCTCTTTTTTTTTTCTTTTCTTTTCTTTTTGTCTTGTTTGTTTGGTTATCTTGGGGGGCAAGGGGACACAGAAATGTAGGACAAAGGGTGAACAAATGCACAGTGGTTTTCAGTAGAAACAATACAACTTGTGGGCAGGGACAAGTGGGAAATACTGGGAGGGAGCAAAGGAAGGGGGTGATATTGTCCAAAATAAATGTATTCATTACCTGACTTATGAAATGGTAACTCCTGTGTATATCACCTTTATAATAACATTTTTAAAATTTTGATATAAAAAACAAAAACCTAGCAGGGTGCCCAGAAGGCTGAGATCTAAGGATTGTCATTCAAAGTCAGACTAGGCAAGAAAGACAGTGAGACCCTTATCGCCAATAAACTATAGAAAACCTGGAAGTGAAGTTGTGGCTGAACTGGTAGAGCACTGTCCTGGACCAAAAGAAGCTCGTGAACAGTTCACAAGCCCTGAGTTCAAGGCCTAGGATTGAGGGGGGGGGGGAAGGAGAGACAGAGGATGAGAGAGAGGGAGAGAGAGGGAGAGGGAGAGGGAGAG